CGAAGAAAACCTAACTTAGATATTATTTTACGCATCAATTGCTTTTGTTTCTACTGTGCTTTTTTCTTTCTTTTCTAATGGGGTTCTTGATAAGACCTGTACATGGTGAAACTTTGAATAATATTATTATGCTTTTTAAAAATAAAACTATAATATTCCTCCCAATATTCCAAGACTCCATATTTTTCTACTACCATAAAATACAGCATAGAAGGAAAGTAAACGTTTAAGGATTTCCAGCGGCAAGTTCAGCCACCTACGTCAAAAACTCACCAACACATTTCTTCTAGAAGTAGAAGAAAAAGCCACTCACCTATTTCACTCAACTGGTCTTTTTTCCGGCAGTTTCCTTCTGGCTCAAAGTTGTCCACGATATTCCGACACTCGTCCTCGGTGGCGTACAAGTTCTGCAGAAAAACAGAGTCTTTTTTAAAGGTTTACGCTTCTTTCAACGCTGTAAGGATGTTTAAGAGTTTGGAAACCAGGTCCATCCTTTCCATAGTTTAGCATGATACCAACCAACCGAGCTAACATTGCGCCTAAAATTAAAGTAGAAAAAGACACCCGTTACCATCTTCTTTCCCCGAGGCTTGGCACGCCGTTAGCTCAGTCCGTATCACGCTTAACTATGGGGTGATGACCCTGATCCGAATCCCCAATTTGAGGTGTTGTTGAACTCGGGCTGCTCGGTGAACTTTCAAGGTTCTCCATCTACCTTCTCGGTCCTATTGGAGATGGACGTTTCCTCTTCAGGTCACGCCTCTAAACAAAATTTACGGTTTTAAAAGGACGTTGAACTTATCAGAATGCCACATAATAATCAGCAAGCCATTATTCCCCAAGACGATAACTGGGGCCCAAGAGATCACGGAAGTAATTTTTACAACCCAAGCAAAGCATGCTAAATGCATCAGGTTAAAGAACTTTGGAAGTCTCAACAATTCGCTACCTCAAAATTATAAAGTTCTGTCTGACATTTTGGGCTGTTTTGAATTACTAAGACCATGAGGTAAAAAAATATCTGCTGTATCTGAATCGTAAGACAAGATATTCAAAGAATTGCATTTTAAAAAGCTTGACATGCGAAACTTCAAATTTTTGACGTCAAACTTATCAAAACTAGGTACTGAGCAGATAGAACTTTGTAATTCTTAGGTAGCGAATTGTGTCCATTTAGAGGAAACTGCTGGCTATGGGCTCCTGTTGACTGTATGGGGATGGCTATCACCCCGGAAGGCATTCAAAGGTAATAAAAATCGTTATTAAAATCGATTACAGGTGGTTTACTTCTGTTGTATGCGTCAAATGTGGAATATTTTATTTTCAACGCCAAATTTCGACCCCTTTCGAGGTCCCCAACCTCTAATTGTCTAAATGAATAAGGGCCACGCTCAATAAAAAACACCCGTCTTCAGTGTATGACATAACTCTACGGTCGCCATCCTCAAAAAACAGAGAAGATAGGTCAATACCAAGTTTTTACATCTATACGTTAGCATTTGATTATTATTAAACTTTCGTCGCCTACTCT